GAACAACCCACTTTAATCTACGAATAAATATACCAAATCAATAATGAATACTCTGAAAGGAAATACTAATGAAAGTTTAGTAAAACTAACTAAAAAACAATGAAAGGTACTAATAGAAATATTTAGAAAAGAAAGATATGATCAAGAACAAGACAAAGAAAAACTAATAATGCAAATAAGCAAAATAACTAATGAACAAATAAACCAATTATTTGAAGAGGAATCTATAAAATAAAAAATTAAAAAACTACCAATAATGAATAATAAAGAAACAATAGAATTAATAACAAAAGAGAGATTCCAAAAATTCTTTAATTGGAAAAAGAACCAAATAAAAGAACCTGAAGAACTACAGAGCAAGAAGAAAGAAACTTTACAAAAATTATTAGATCAATGATTAAAAGAAAAATTCAGAAAACAAATAAAAAAAGAAGTACCAGACTCAGGAATAGGAATCAAAGAAGAAAGTATGTTCACAATAAACATATCTGACATAATCAAATAGAATCAAAAGATTAGAACACAAGTATTAGAAATAGAATATACTCTAAAAGCAAACATAATAATATTTGCAGAAGCCATAGCAACAGAAAAAACAACTATGATAAATCAGATAGAGGAATATCTCATAAAACAAGGACAACAAGTTTTTAGAACACAAGAATTAACATCAAAAATATCTGAACTCTTAGAACTAATGTATAATGATATACCAAAATATGCATTTACTCTTCAAATGTGTATACTACAAGAATTTTAGAAAATGTGGTATCAACTTACCCTAATGCAAAAAAAAGGAATAATATCCAAATCAGCATACGTTCTATTAGATTGAATATTCATGGATACCTATATATTCAAACAAATAAATATTAAAAATCCAAAGGAAAAAGAAATCTTGGAAAAATTACGAAAGGAGTTACAAGCAGAATTAATAGCCTCGGAGGCAACAGTAATATTCTGCAACTCATCAGAAAAAATAATGATCAAAGACAAATCGAAAGAAATCGAAAAGAAGAACAAAAAGTGATACCAGAATACCTAAAAGGAATCCAAACCTTTATCAAAAATATATTTAATCGATATACCCAAAATATATTGAAGTCAATAATAATTATAAAAATCTTAAAGACATAATTAGGACTATAATAACCGAATGACCATTTTTTGAATATCAGATAAATCAAAGATGGGCACAACAAATATATGAAACACCACAATTAGAAGAAGTAGCAGTGTTACCAATATCACCAAGGATAGAAATACAAGAAACACAAGGGTATACAGTAATAATCCTATACATAACAGAAAAGAAAAGAAGCAATATTACCTTTAAAATCCTAATAGCACAAAGAATAGGATGTAACATTTACCAGAACCAATGGTCATACTTTGGATGAAAATATGAACCAGGAAAGGATACATCATACTATCAAAGTATCAAATGAGAAGCAATGGAAGAACTGAATCTAAAAATAGATAATACACGAATGCAATTGATAATGATTCATAATTATTATTCAAACAATAAGAGTAGAACACAAACATTATACAATAATCAAGTGGCAAAAAAAAAAGTAATAGCAACAAACTGAGTTGTCATACCAATATATCTATATAAATTAAAAAATAGGAAAAAGAAGATAATTCAGAATATAGAACCCGATAAACAAGGACCATTCTAATACTTATCATATGAACAAGTACAATATAAACTCTTTACGCCGAGTATTTACTTGTACAAGAAAAAATTATTTAAATTATTAATACCATATTATGAGAATAAATATCAATCCCGATAAAGAAGGATTACACCCACTATGACATATGATCTGCACAAATTAGATATAAATAGAGAATTTCAAAGAAATACCTCTTAAAGAAGAAATACGCCAATCAACAATTAAGGGGCGACAAACAAAGTCAAATCAATAAGATGGCCAAATTACCTGTACAAGCAATTCTAACTTTCAACACCAAGAACTCAGAAACACAACAGCATGTATAGACAATTTGAAAATGTGCTGATGATTAATTATTCTACTAGAAGAAGTAAAAATTAATTGAAGATCTAACTAACGATCTATCTAAATTATGACAAATAATAACAACTACAAAATAAATAGAAGAAAACAAAGTGTATAATGATACACAATAAAAATAAACGCCAAAATATGAAAAAATATTCAACTATAATACCGATATACCAAATATTCAGAAAACTTCGAAAAATTGTAAATGCTAAATTTAACAAAGAATCAATTATTCATTTAACAATAGTCTAATACAATAGACTAGGAAAAGTATATCAAATTAGACTTTTTATTATTTAACATTCGAAACATATACTACTTGAAAAAGTATTTAACTACTGAAATTTAACTTAGCTAGAACTTCATACATTCATAAACTTGAAATTTAAATAGCTTCATTTTATAATTTAACTTTGAAACATTGATTGTTTCATAAAAATTATCCTTCAAAACAACAGTTAACCTATAACTATTTAACTGATACATATAATTAAAGTATAACACCTACAACCAATATAATAATTGATATAATATCGAATAATGAAAAATTGTAAAGAAATTACATGAAAAATAAATCTAACTAGCGTACATTCTTATAATAATAACCTGTATGCATATAATATAAATATTTACTAAATAAAAAATGATTTATAAATTATAAATATATTTGACTTTTATTATCTATTGAAAGTACTTATATTATTAAAAAGTAAACTAGAAGGATATATGAAAAGAAGATATCAACTTTTTACTTACGTTTGACTCAAAGAATTGATTACTCTACGAAGATAACTGCAATCATATAATGAAATAATCTATAATAAGTTATTTTACAAAATGCATCCAAAGAGATAAAGATAATTATTTATCTTATACTAACACTTCTAGCCTTCATAATTTATAATGATCTAGAAAACATATTACGACCAAAACCATAAATACATTGCATAATTACTTTAGAAAAAGAATTACTCTTACAAAATTGACTATCTTAATATTTAAGAAAATACTTGAACATATTTATAGACATTATCGACAAAAATTCAACAATATGTATTATATAATTTATTGTCCAAAGGAAGTAACACAATTTAGAAAACCTTGGAAAAATATATTTGCCAACACCGATGTAATAGTACCAATAATATTAATGCCAACATTAACAAGTACAACATTATCCTCAACATCCTCAACAATATTAACGCTATTTAACACAATACAAAATGCCAAAGAAAAATCGATACAATTAATACAAATAATAGTAGCAACACCAAGCACAGAATCAACAAATAATAATCAGGCCTTAATTACATTATTAGAAATATTAGGCACAATACTAGCAATATTAACCGCAATTGTAACAATACTTATAATCTGTTATAAAAAACAAAGACACTGAAAACAACAATATAAACAACAATTAGAATTACCATCTGTTGAAATACAAACTGCTCAAAGGTTACCAAACAATACCTTTCAACAACCTATTGCACCCTTATCAGAAAATAATTTAAATAATCTTGCAAAACAATTAAAAACTAAAGACAAAAATAGACAACACCTATTAGTACAAAGTATAGGATTAAACGGATCAAACTCTCATAAAAAATATCGTATGCAAACAGCCACAGAAGACAATTACAATTCAGACTCATCAACTGTAATATTTACAACCTAAAAGTAAATTACTAGAAAAATTATCAAAAGAAATTACAATTAAATATATTCTTTAAAGAAAATAGAAAAAGACGCCCAACCACAATAATAATCTATATCGACAAGAATCTAACAAATAGTCAACAATGTCAACCACAATAACTACAATACCACCATCACTACCCACTGGAACAACTCTTGGAAATAATTGCAATCCAAACATATTTACTAATCAACAATCGCTAACACTATTCTTTATTATATTACTACTTATACTTCTCAATATAACAACCATATTATTATGTTGCTGTATACTACAGTGCAAACAGAAAAGAAACTATAAAGAGAACCCTCAAGCTGCATACTTTGCTCAAGAAAGACAAAACTGCTTAATACTCTAAATAAAAAATAACTCAGAAACTATCAGCGATACTACAGTACTCATTATTACAATTATCATCATAACTACACTTATAATTGGAATAACCTCTATCGAAATAATTACTTGCAAGAAAAACCTTTCAAGAAAAAGAACTACTGGTCAACCACCCATCTTACCTTTACAATAAATACTAAAACTCTTAAACCTTAAAAAGAAAAAAGAGAAAGGTACACCAACCATTAGACCCCAATATATACCTTAATGCCCAATACTTATTAACACGACAAGAACTTAACTAATCTTTATTAAATCTAAACTATCAAGAAGCTTTTAAAAAATTGGAGACTCGCTACCAAACCAAAACCAACAATACTTTAATAACAGAAGCTTAATACACTTACAAAATAGATCAACACCCAACCTTAGATATCTAAATGACCAACACTTGTATATACCAGTGAAATCTAGAAAAACTAATCAATCACATAAGTTCAACTACCTTAATTTGATATCAAGTAGAACAAACAAGTTACATGAACAACCTTTCAATTCAAACTATTGAAGAAAGACAAGTTATATTCTTAACAATACAAATACCAACACCAACTATAACCCAAAACATAACTGCAACAAGTATCCAAACTGTAACCTCAATTACAATCTATACTCAACAAATAACACCAAGCTACTTCAATAACTCAAACGTCATAACCCAAGATATAGTAACTATAACAATAATTATACTAGTAATACTCATAATATACTACATCAACTACTGAAAAAGAGTACTAGAAAATGAACGAATAATTGAACAAAGATGCAAAGAAGCAGATAGATTATTTGAAACCGTACAACAAGCACTACTAATTAATATAACCTAATGCAACTTATCAAATGAGCAGCAATCAGAATTCTCTTACAACCAGAAATATTCATACTATCACAATATATATCACTATTAACTTACTATTTATAGTAACAACAGTATTATTCATAACAACTAAAATAATATATCTCATAACCGAAGAAGTATACCAAGACTACATAATACAAGAATATACCCTGTTATTGTATAACAAAATATTACT